TGCTTTCATTCAGGGAGCTGAACTTGGTCAGAGATGAGCAGTACAGTCTTCTGGAGCTGATCCATGTTTTCTATCCAACATTACAGAGCGTCACAGCAGAGCAGCTCACTGTGTTTAATCTTTTGTTCATCTTTGATGGCCTGGATGAAAGCAGATTTTTGTTGGATTTTACCAACATGAAGCTTGTGTCTGATGTCACACAGAAGTCATCATTCAGTGAGCTGCTGACAAATCTCATCGAGGGAAATCTGCTTCCCTCTGCTCTCATCTGGATAACTTCCCGACCTGCAGCAGCCAATCAGATTCCTCCTAAATGTGTTGACAGGGTAACAGAAGTACGAGGCTTCACTGATGCCCAGAAGGAGGAGTACTTCAGGAGGAGATTCAGTGATGAAGATCTGTCCAGCAGAATCATCTCCCACATGAAGACATCCAGGAGCCTCCACATCATGTGTAGAATCCCAGTGTTCTGCTGGATCACTGCTACAGTTCTGGAGCACATGTTGACTACAGAGGAGAAAGCAGAGCTGCCCAAGACCCTGACTGACATGTACTCACACTTCCTGCTGGTTCAGACAAAGAGGAAGAAAAACAAATACCATGAGGGACATGAGAATTTGTTTGTTGAGACAAGTCCACAGGTGCTGACGGAGGCCGACAGGGAAGTTCTTCTGAAGCTGGGGAGGCTGGCATTTGAACATCTGGAGAAAGGAAATATCATGTTCTACCAAGAAGACTTGAAGCAGTGTGGTCTGGATGTTTCAGAGGCCTCGGTGTACTCAGGAGTTTGTACAGAGATCTTCAAAAAGGAGTTTGGAATCTTCCAGAAACCAGTTTACTGCTTTGTTCATCTGAGCATCCAGGAGTTTCTGGCTGCTGTCTACGTGTTCCACTGTTACACCAATAAGAAGACAGAGGTGCTGCAGGACTTCCTAGGAAAAGAAAACAGTGAGAATTTGCAGAAAAATACTAATGGACGTGATAACAAATATGATAGTGATGAAGATGAAAATCA